GATAGCTTGGACTAATTATCTTCATTATTAACCTCAGTTACAAAATAATTTCTCCTACAGGTAATTTAACTGAAGGTGTTTAAGAGTGGCAATCTGAAAAATAGACCTGTATAATATAATCTATTGATATTTTAAATCTATATCCTTAACTATTATCTCAAGTTCCCCAAAATGAAGTCCTTTAAATAGGATATTTTATTGTCAGGTATGGAATAAAGAACACTCTGCAAACTGAATGTAGTGCTGAAAATAATAGAACAAAATATTATTTTAATGTTTCTTGAGTGTGAACATATACATGTAGCTAGTAGTTTAGTTCCAATCTTTCTTCTTAAGCTCAAAGGCTACAAACACCTTGGAGGGGTTTCATACTTTTTATATTTTGTTTGCTAACACTACAAAGCAAAAAAAAAAACTTGATGAAACAAAGTGTGGCATCATTTGAAGATTATAAAAGGTAATACATTTTGGAGTATTGGTGTAAGAAAGGGTTATAATGAAAAGAGTTAAAATAAAGTGGGACTATTAGCATGAGTTTAGCTGAGGAAAAGAAAAGGAATAAAGAAGAGCCCATAGAGAGAAGGAGGAACAGAACCCTAGAGGAAGAAGAGTTTTGCAGGAGGAAATGGCTTAATTTTTAACCAAAATTAAGGGGGGCATAAAAGCTCTTCAAAGGTCTCAACCAGAATGTCATTGTGAGCAGTGAAAGGACCTTAGTCTTGGTGAGCTTTAACCTACGGGAAAATTGGACTTTCTAGGCTAATATAAAAATAATATTTGTCCATCATATAACAGCATGCAGCAGTGAGGAAATGTTCACAGTGTTCATGAAAAGACCATGACATGTTCCATTGCTCTGTTTATTTCCGGGGTCCTCTCCTTCTCTCTGTGCCATTTTCAGCAAATCCTCACAAATGCTACAAGTTTTTTTTCCAAATATTGCATCAAATAATGAAATTTCTTATGTAGATATCATAGGCAAACCTGTATGTAATACAGCTTTTACTGAGGTTTTATTATACAAAAAGCCTGAAAGGATGCCCTGGACATGATGTCCTAAGTTGTCAGTTTGAAAAAAAAAGTAAAAACTGCATAGCTCTTAGGGGCCTTGAAATGCAGACAGGGAGAGCAGATACTGGAAAAAGGACTACTGCAAAGAGCCAAAGAGCAACAACTGTCCAAAAGGTTGTGAACCCAAGGTTAGGCAAATGCATTTTTCTTACTCCTTCCCCACACTGCATGTTGCTGTACAAGCTAGAAAACAAACCTTTTTTTCCCACTCTCATTTACCACAGAAAACAATAATGACCATTTTTTAATTTGGCTTTTTTTTTTTTTCCTAAAATCCTTTGGAAAAAAAATATATGGCTCTATAAAATGTTGGATACGTTGAAATCCCTTTGCCTAAACTGCCTTGAATGTGGAGCTCAGCAAACATTCAGGTTCATTTATAAGGCCAGCATATGAGGCTGTTTGTTTATCAGGCATTCAAATCAGGAATAATGAAGCTGATAGAGTGCTAAGAATACACAAATGCTGTTTGCTTTGTAAAGCTGTATATGGAATTCAGTAATGAATCCTGGGATATAGGACAGTCTATCACTGTAGAGTAATTATTTGTTGACTGCTGAGCCAGCTGTGTTGAATTTGCTTCTTGGTGTGTTCAGAATGCCAAGGCATCTTTAAATCTCACTCTTTAGTTTAGATTAGACATGTTAAATGGCAGCACATTACTTACACTGTGCTAGTCTCCTGATGCTAAAAGCAAGTTCTTGGTACAGAACAAGGTAAGTTGGAAAGGAGAGTGAATAGAAGAGTTTTTGTTGACTAATTACTTGTCTTTAAAATGCTCTCAGAGTTGGTAATGGCAATACCTACAAGCTGTTGATGTCTTGGGACTGTGAGGACTGATTCTGCCCATGTGGAATCAGTAGAGGACACACATTAATGTTAAAAAAAGCTAAGTACTGCATGGAAAGCAAAGGTCCTCTGTATGCAGGTAGGTGTGTGCACACCTGCATATCTGGGACCTACTGAAAGTGTCTGTGTGTGGTTGTACTTGGGCTCACAGCACATGAACTCACTGGAGGTGCATGAGAAGGGCTCAGCAAGCCACTTGCAATGCAAAGGATACAGCAGCACTTGTTTCCTGAGACCCAGTCCATTGTTTAAGGCAAAAGCCACAATGCACAGCCTGTTTTTTCAATGGACTGCACAAGAGAATTACATCTTTTGACTTCATTCTGGAGGCAACAATTAATTCCAGAGGCAACAATAATCTGGTAGCATTGGGAACCATATCAACGTTGACAGCCCCTCCTGTGCAGGCAACATTTTTCACTGGTCACCTCTGGGCTTCTGTGGCTGCCTGGAGGAGGCTGCGCTTGACACTGCTCAGTTCTGTGAGGAAGTGCTTGAGTTCTGCTTCCTGCACTTACTCAAAGGGAAACCTCTTGCCACCAGAAGGGAAACCTTAGAAAAAGCAGTAGCTCCCAATGAAGAAAAGTGCTCTACCAGACATTTGAAAGTCAAGGGAAAAGCGTCAGACCCCTAGAGTTCTCACATCTGATGCCCAGAGAACTCCCAGGTCTTGTTTTGCCAGAGCTCAGAGCCAAGGAATCAAAACCTTAAGAGCTGAACCCAGCAGGACAGGGCAAAAAAGAATCAGGGAAGATCAGCAAAAGACAACTGATCAGGATGGACAGAGGATCAGACCTGGGAAAGCTTTCTCAGAGTGTAGAACTCTGTAAATGTCCATCTGTTTTGGAGCCTTACCCAAACAGTTCCTACAGCACATGCGAGTGCTTGAAAACTCAGCTTCTGACCCAGACTGGTCTGAGTGCTGAGCAGGTAACTATCCAACATTAGCACATCTAGGAACCAGCCAGTATGGAAATCCTGGAGTGAGGTCAACTTATCCACTCACACCTCATAAAACCTTGCAGCAACCTGTCTATCTGGGAAAGCAAAATCCGGGTTTAACAATCCTGAACCTTGTTGTGAAGGTCAGTATTTGTGACATTTAATTTTCAATTATTATCCCAAGGAACTGATGAGGACCCATGCTTTCTTGTTAAAACCCATCTGGAAAAACAGCCAGTAAGAGAGCAGCAATAACAGTGCTCAGATGATAAGTGCAGGAAAAAGGAGCATACTGTGGGTGTCAGGCCGCCTATTTCACTGCAAGTACCAGCCAGGAAACTGGGAGAGTGCTGTGACTCCCTGTGGTACAGCCCTAGTAGCCTGTCCTCCCTGCAGAGAATGCCAGGAGTCGCAGCTGAAAGAATCAGGATTTCACAGAATGTGTGTGTTTTTTTATGGTTTTTTTTCCTTTGTTTTTTTGTTGGTTTTTTTCCCCCCTCAGTTTAATAAAAGAAAAAAGTATTTACACTTCACTCCCCTTTTTTAGTCAGACATTTCTGATTTACTTTATGCTCTTAGGAGAAAACAAATTTTTTTCTTCTCTTTTTAAACAATGAATAAAAGAAAAGTAACCTGCTTTTATGCAAGGTGCTTATTTATATGGGATAATCTCCAAAAGAATTAATCTCTGACTCCTCATGAGTTCCTTGCTGTCTCCGTGACTGGGGCTTCAGTGCACAGCAGGGCTCAGAACTGACCAGCTACACCACCTGATGCTCCAAATACTTTCTTGAACTTATTTGGAAAGTCTAGGGAATTGTTTTTCAGGTTCTTAATAAGAAAAAAAAAAAGTTCCTTTTTTAATGCACATCCATAAAGGGGAACCAACAGATTTTTAAATGTTGCAACACACTTTATTTTGTTGGGCATTTTAGATGTTCAATTAAATAGCACTATGTTAAACTACATTTTGTTCTTTCTTACACACTATATGATGCATATTCACTGTCATGACAGTTTCATCATGCTAGGAACTTATACACATACCTACAATTTTAAAACCAAGATTCTCTTAATAAAACACGCATATCTACAGAAACAACAATTGCAAAGAACACATTGTTAGGTCAAGATTTCAGCAAACTTTACAAACTACACAAAATAAAAAGGAAAAAAAAATAAAATACCAGTACACAGTGAAGTTCTTGGCAGAGAACATATCTTTACATTTGGTGAAGTTATGTCTAGAAGTCATTTTGCTTTTGCGTTTTTTAAGGAATAAAATTATATACATTATTTAGAAATCCTCCAAATAGGAAGTATTAAATAGCACAAATAATATTACAGTCTTAAGTTCTGGTGTTACCTACAGTAAAGGGGCTACTTTAAAGGAAAATTGCAGTTTGTCTATTCTGTACATTTAAGGCCAAACACTCAGCTGGTATCAACCCCAGTAGCTGTAAGGACAACAAGGAAGGTACATTAGTTTATAGCAGCTGAGCATCTGGTTCCTGACTTCTCTATACATGCGGGAAGGCTCCTAAAGCATGGAAGCTTGGACCAGTTATGCACTGACAGAAGCTTATTATATTTATATACTGAAGGTCTCATGCAGCAGGAAAAATGTTAGTTTAAGTATAATCCCTTAAACAGTCATACCATAATAATGGTATATGAAGCAGCTTTAAAAATATTATTTTATAATCATATGAAACTCTGAGCTATGCTGATTGTTTTAATGGAATCCCTTATTGCCAATATTCTATTAGAAAACAGTGTAACTGTAATTTCTGAGGCCTAATGGGGGACTATTAAAATATCACTGTACCTAACCACTTAAAGGGCAATTTGTACCCTGAAATACCTATTAATCACTGTATTCCATCTGGAAGCAATTATGATCCTCACAATAGACATTAGTATCACACTAAGTCTGCAGTGAATCTGCTGGGGAGATAGGAAGAGCATGGCAGCATACAGAGAATATGCACTAGTGTCATTCCAGGAGGTAGTTCTGTATCATGGCACTTGGTTTTTTGTCACTTACACACCTCAGAAGTCAGTCATATTCTGAAATACCTATTGAAAAAAAAAAAGAAAAAAAGAAAAAAAAAAAAAAAAAAAAAAAAAGGGGGGGGGGGCAAGGAAGAAATAAAAGGAAAAAAAAAAAAAAAAAGAAAAAAAACCCCAGATTCCTCCAGAACCTTATTTGCTAGCTCTTTGGGCCAAATTCAATCTCATGGAGGTCAGAGAAAGTTTTCTGATGGTTTCCATAAGAAGGACCTTAGTTATTAATGCCTAAATATTGCAGAAATACACACTGAGGCCTTGAGTAAGGAGAGCACTTAACTCGATGGCAATATATGGGCAGGCTGGCACTGCCTTGCTAGCAGTAAGCACACAAATTAAATTCAAAGAGATCCCACCAGCATCAAAGGGATTTAGAGACTGTTTAAATGGTGTGATTAGGGCTCATTTCCCAGCTGTCCTTCATGAGGTGGTGATAAAGTGACAATCCAGCTAATGGCAGATAAATACCAGTGTTACCTCCATTGCATTAAACTGAATTCACACAGGCACAAACCCAGAAGTGTTTCCCCATGCCCTGCAGTTACTCCTAGAGTATTCTAATAGAAGTAGACTTATAACTTAACATTTTAACTCAGAATTATAACATCATAACTCAGAATTATAACTCAGATTTGAGCTGAACATCAGTTTATATTTTTGCATAATGCCATAAATAATTGTGATTTTTTCTAGGGTGCTCATACATTTTTAATCCCTGTTACTGTTTTGAACAGACTGGGTGGCTTCCAGAACACTCTTACACAGTAAAAGCATCGATGATCTGTCCCTCTTTACAGCATTTGCATGGCTTTTCCTAGGATGACTTGGTGCACACTCACCCAATTTTCAACAAAATTTGCTTCATTAGACCTGGCAGCTGCTTCTTAAACAAAAGATTTCTGTTTGAACATGCCTCTCAAGTTATAGTTTTTGGTTTTTGACCCAAACCCATTTTTCAGTTTTATTTTTCCCTCGTTCCTTATTTTTTCTTCTTCTCTTTTCCTGATCTGCTTTTTAGCAAAGAACTGAAAATAGGAGCAAATTGAGAAAATAACATGGAAAAGAATAAGGGTACAAAAACTGGAAATTGGGAATGGTTTAATTAGAAAATTCTAGTTAAATATTTGCAACTTTGAGAAAACAGTTGAAAAAATAATGTTTTAAAAATTTCAAAGACACTTATGACTTGTTTCCACATTTCAGACCAGCTCCAATTTAATCATGGAACAGAATAAAGATAATCTATATTTTTCATTTCTGAACAAGCACTATATGATGTGTCTACATTCTGTCCTTTGAAAAGAAATTGGAGTGTAATCCTTTGAAAAGTAGCTAAAATACCTAAGTCACTTAGGTGTTTTTCGAAATTATATGTATAATGAACATTCTTATGTTATCTTTGTGCCACTTATAAAGCTATGTAGTGTTATAGGACTCCCTATTTTAATAAAAATCAATATGAGCAGAGATATTTTAAGTTACATTCCAGAACTCATTAATTTATTACAACTCATACTATGCACAATAATCAGTGCTTACTCTGATAAAGTATAAATTCTTTGTTTTTCTTCTGTTTGTTCCTTCATTTGGCCTCTGAGCAAATGAAACATTTCTACTACACTTTACTTGCTTCCTAGCTGCATGCATTCACATGATTTGATCGATGAGTGAAAGCTGTAAACCCAATATTGAGCAGTAAACAAGAAGAAACTCATGTTCTTAAACACAGTGCAAGGAAATCTTAGTACCATCCTACTCTAAATATTCATCTTAACCCAGATTCTTTCACCACCAGTCTAGTTGGTACAGTTCCAGAGTTGCAAGACAATGCACTGATTTTGTTAAAATTTCTATACAGCTGTAATTAAATACTGAGATGTTAAAGGTGAATCTGGTTTAAGATGAATACCCAGTGCTGTTTCTAGGACAGAGCTCAGCCTAGAGTCACTAAGCATCTAGGAAAGAAAATGCTCTGAGTTGTTTTCTTAGGTTACACTGCATTAAATTGGGAGAAAGATCTTTTATGAGTCTTCCTGGATTTTCATTTAATTTTTTATCAGATTTGCACGAATGTGTTTACAATAGACAAATATAAGCCCCCTACACTGAGGACAAAAATATCTATTACTATAAAATAAAATTAAGATCCAGGTAATTGATTTCTTCTATTTCTACTTTTTCTGCTATTGATAAGAGCCTTTAGTTTGCTGTAGTCCCCTCTCATCTTCTGGGATTCTTCCCTGTGCTGACCTGCCTGCCTGCTGTCTTTGCAGTACTGGTTAATCATCTGCATCTCGGAGTGGCTGAAAGCCCCCACAAAGTCCTTGGGGTGGAACTGCAGGGCTCGCACCGAGCTGGCCCAGGTCCAAGGGGACCACTTGTCAGTCATGACAGCCACCATCTCTGAATCCAGCACCTTGAAATTGATCTTTGCCAAGGTCTGCTTGAAGCTGTTCTCCGTGGCGATGCAGTGGTAAAGCCCCCAGTCGCTGTCCTGCACAGAGCGAATCAGGAGCCCGTGCTCAGTAGCTATGATCCTCTCGTTCAGCTTCACCTAGAGAGCAAACAGGCAGAAGGAACCTTTTAGGGAAGGTTATGGAACAACAGACTATTGGACCTTCTGGTAAGCTTCACTTCAAACATGACTTCTTACAGTTACTGTATTTTTATATAACTATCTTCAAGAGACCACCTTTAGGAGAGCATACCTCAAAGAAGGCAAGTGCTGCTAAAGAAAATGACTTAAATGATTTTATTTCTTATGTTAGAATAATTTGATCAGGATGTAGGCAAAGATGAAAATCTGGAAACCACATGAAATAGAAGTTTTCATAATGTTCAAATAGTAGAGTTGAAGGAATGAACTTTTATTTGCCCTGTTGCACTCCGGAGAATGTCTCTTTCAGCATCAAGAGACTGCTGCTGAGACTCAGTGGAAGAAAGGTGCAGGACCAGGGAGGCTAATTTGGCATTGAACTCAAGGTGGCTTTTCATTAAATATTTTGACTTTGAGCAGGTTCCTGCTGAAGAACTCTATCTGCTCTGCAGAGTCTGTAGCCTATAAAAATTATCACCACCGTGGTCTCAAGTGGGACTTGGCTCAATGTTAACCAAGAGCACAGGTACTCTCCTATTTCCTTTCTGGCTTCAGACTCTGCACTGTCCCAGGAGATGATCACATCACCTGAAAGAAGCAGGTTACCAGAGCTTGTTATCATCCAATTATAAATGCATGTGCAGATGTCCCTTTGCATATCAATATGAAGCAAAAATTGCTAGTTCAGTCCATTATGAAAGGAAACCACTACTGGTATTTTTCTGAATGATTTTTCTATTTTGCTACTGTGCTTTGCATTATACTTGGTTCTCTCGGGAACTAATTTACTTATTATGGTGTTCTGCTATTGTAAACTTTTGTAGACATTGTGGAAGATTTCCAGGCATCTGAGAGTTTGAAAACTAATTAACACTTTGATTGCTTTATTGAGCCTGTTGTAACTGCATAGATTCTAATATATTCACATAATATAAGAAAAAAAAAAGGGAGATGTTTTGCTGAAGCAATGGGTTAAAGAATTGTACATGACTTTGAATAGTTAGAAAACTCAGTGAGACATTTGTAATTCCCCTCTGTTTTTGTAAAATGGCCTGATAGGAGAATAATACTTTACAGTATTTATAACCTATCAACAGACACCACATTACTTAAAAGTTCCTTTTGAAAGATGTTTCTTTTTATTCATATAGTAAGTGCTTGGATTTGCAATGGATTTTTTCCCCTTTTATATTACTTTAGGAAGGAACATTCCTCATAAACAATCATACTGTATATTGCAGTGCTGAAACTCGAGAGCCTTAGAGAGTGCAGTAATGGAAAATGTGATTGCACCATGGTGAGGAAATGCTTTTGTCAATACGTGTTCTTAGCCTGGACTAGTTTCTTGCTAAAGAAACCTTTCACTTTTCTCCTACTTTTGCCTTTTATCTCTTCAATAGCACAGAGGAGCTACTGCATGCTGACTTCTTCCTGAACTTTATACAAGTTCTTGCTTTTATGCCTATTTCCTTAGATCAATAAGAAGTTCTGAGTGCTGCAAGCCTTCAGTTTGCAATCAGTAAGGTATGAAACAAAGATTTTTTAATTTTTTGGTAGCTGTTCTTATCTGACAATAGTCTGTTGGGCTGAGGATGAAGTCTCAGCTGTACTGGGTCTGCTCTTATTCATATGAGTAAATGATGGCCACTGTCCTGCATCCACACAAATTCTCCAGCTTCACTGTAGCCAGACTGCCTGATAAAAACACAAACTGTTCCCTCCCTTTATCTGGGGAGGGAATGTCATGCTGACTAAGGATCCTCCCAGAGCTCCTGTTCACATTACTCACCTCTTTCCTCCTGTCATTGTCTTTCTGTAGCAGCCATTTAATAGAAGCCTGAGGAGATTTAGGCGTGCATTCCAGAAAGGTGGTGTTGTTTTTTACTCCATACTGAACTATTTCTGCAGCATTTCTGTATGCTAGAAAGAAAGAAAGAAAAAGAAAACAGGTCAAGATACCGTGAATGGTGATTTGATTAAGAAAACATGTAACTCTTTGCAATATAGATTAAATGAAGTATGCCTAATTCTGATATTGGCCAAAATTAAATAATTTGTAGGAAAAAATTTCAAATAAAATTAAATGGAATGTGAAGAAGCACATTCGGTTTCAAATACCAAGGTTTTCAGAGTGACATGTTCTCTTCTGAGAAATTAGGACACCTATAGGCTGATAAACTTTGCTGATGGGATAACTGAGTTCAGGGATATTTTTCTGTGAAATTATCTCATTCTCTATTACTCCAAAAGAGAATGAAGCATTTAATGTATTTCTTCACACTTCACCATTTATGATTTGGGAGAATATGGTTGTATGACCAAAATAAAGCATCATGCCCTAAAGAAGGCTCCAGCTACCCCAGCTGAGTGCAGCAGCTCACGGAGGACAGAGAGGGCAGGCTGGGCTCCCTTTCCTCTGCTTCTCTTCCAACACATGGAAGGGACTTGGCTCTCAACCTGAAATGTGATGACTATGTAGATAGGCCAGCAACAGAGAGAAAGACAGATTTATAGCACTTCAGCAACACCTGGGCAAGTGCTGAGCATATGTCATCACTTGGACTTCTTGTGTCCCTTTACAGTCTCCATAGATGAATAATTGGCAGTCACCAGTAGGAACTTCTGGATGCTTATTGCTTGGTCCAGATCATAATATTTGTCCTCAAAGCAAAGCACCTCCAGATTGAAAAGCTTGCCTCATACATGAAATACATTTTTTTTTTTTTATTTTGAGAAAGGAGCAATGAAAATTATTGAAATAGTATGAGAACTGCAAATACCTAGAGGTCTGCATGTCTAAAATCTGATTCTGCTCTTGCACAGTCCTAAGACTGGCTTTTCTCAGACCCTACTTTATCTCCCATTTTTTTCAGTTTCTTTCATCAACTGATATGTGAAATTGAAATCCATTCTTCTGAAGGAAGGAGACTTTGCCTGGTTCTAGTCCTTCAGCACATTTAGGAAGCTGTAACAAAATTCTAACTTTTAGGAGAATAATGTGGAAATACTTCACATTCAAAATGCATTTCTGTAATGGCTATAAGGGCTAACACAAACATAACAATATTAAACAGACATGAAACGAAAACATACAAGATTGCTTAGTTCTTGATGATTTATTTAAAAATAACAATGTGCCAAAAAATGTTAAGTTTATACGTGCTTAGAGGTCTACCGTCTTTAAATGCTTGGATTCAGCATTATGGTTCTCTATGAGCTTGGAAGTTTCCTTGGCTTTGCTTGGCTCTCTGCTCTTTTGTCCTTTAGGTAGATTTCATTTTTTTTCCCCAAACACAGTCACTTTGCTATAAATGGCTGTAATTGTATTTTCCAAGTGTCTAAATTGCTCTTTCTTTTCATCTTTTTTTTTTTTTTCCAGGGAAACAACTGCCATCTACCTACCCTATATCCCACTGCTGCCACCGAAACTTCCTTTACAAAGATACTAAAATACATAAACCTATAAATACAGACACATTACAAAAGTGGCTGGAAAACAAGAAACTTGTTTCACAAGACTGTCAAGGTTGAAACAATTATCCCCCCTCAGGCCAGAATGCAGACAGTTGACATTCTCACATTTTCCACATGGAAGGAGGAGACACCCACCCTTGGGACAGACAATGGGTGGGAGGTCTCAGCACATGCCTGCAGGGGAAGACAGGAAGCTCAAGTTGCTTCAACGTGGATCTCTCAGATTTCAGGTGTATTCTCTAACACTGGGGTCTTCTCTTGGAATTTCCTGCTCAAGCTCTTCATATAAATTACCTAATACTGACTCCTTTAAGCAGAGGGATCTACACCCAACTGACTGCTGTGGTCTTTTCTGATCCAGGAGATTCTTCCAACAACCAGTGGAGACTATTTCAGTAGAATTATTATTAACAGAACCTTTCACATGTCACTCTTAAAGCATTGATCTTTGATTAAAAAACATCAATAAAAAACTTACAATCTGCTCTAATACTTGGTCACCAGGTGGTACAGATGAGAACATACTTCAAAATTCAGGCTCGTAATAGAGGTGAAAGGAGCATAATTCTCTGTGTACCCTTGGTCTGATGGCATACATTGGCACTGCCTAGCTCAGACATGCATGGGTTCAAGAGGATGGAGCTGCCTCTATATATGTGTTTACTCCTGTGACTTTGGTCATATTTTACTGGCGTCCATCTATCTGGAGAAAGTGCTGGCTGGGAGGGCAAAGCCTTGGCTCCCCTGGCCACCCTCACCATGCCAGGCTGACTAAACAGTTGGAAATAAGAGACTCCATAAAGAAATTTGAATAGTTTTTTTTCCCCATGTAAAGGTAGAAGGGAATAATCATAAATCAAAAGACAGGCTGGCCTAGATTCTCCTGTTTGCTCAAAGGTGTACTCCAAAAATCAGTATGGGATCAAATATTCAGAAAAATTTGGAGGTCCAAAGCTTAAATGAATGAAAATGCATTAATAAAGACTGAAGGGAAACCAAGGTAGAAAAGTCCTCAAATTAACTTTACCTTTCTCTAGTCAACAGTGTCAGCTTCTCAATTCAAGTATGCTGTACTATTTACTTCATGGCACAACATTTTATCATATACGTGCAAGTTTCATATAATTGTAAGGAAACATGCTTTAGCATCCAAAATCAAAACAAAACTCACACTGGGAAAATAATTATGCTTTACCAGTAAACCATACTGATAATGTCAGTTATAATGAATCATATAAAGGAAAACCATGTGTTCTTTATATAGCAGGAGGATCTCTAAATTACAGTACCTTTCAGGTTGAAACCTCGGCACTGAGTCAGAGGGTTTCCATGTCTCACGTCTTGCCTACGGCTCCTCCTGCAAGATTTTGTAAAAACAAAATATTATTCCAAGACAGCTACACCGAAAATAACCACTTTTTTATTTGTGGATTTGTTGTGTTTTGGTTTTTTTACTAGATCAAATGTTAGGGATAGTTCATGACCTACTGTGAGTGTGCTTTACTCTTGACAGGCCTGTTGGTGTGAAGATACTGTTTAGGTGAAGCAGCACCTGTTGAAGCTTATAAAGCAGGTGCAGTTTTTGTAGATAAAGCAGCTGTGCAGAGGAGGTTTAGGGATGGAAGGATCAGAGGTGATAAATGAGAAAGACCTCTGCTCACTCACAACATCCAGCATTCAAAGCCAGAACCCCCAGCTGGAACTCTTCATAAAAAGGCAAGTAGCTAGCAATGAGATGCATAAGATTCATACTGCACGTATCTGAAACACCAGCACAAAATTATGACAAGTTCCCACCTCGATTTTAGCTAGCACTTTAGTTTTGGTGCCTGTAGCCACCTTCGTAGCAGAGTGACTGAAGTATTCATGCAGAATGGTGGAGAGCTAAGATTCTAATCTGTCTTCTACTTGAAGGGATGTGCCTATTTCCAAAATATAATAAGATTCACCAGGTATCAGGATACTTCTAAATAGGGATTTTTTTATATAATCTGGATGACATATGTAAAATCACGATTCTGTAGCAAACTGTCTGGGAAGCTTACTGGGAATGCTGGATTTCAGTCCTCCCCAGCTAGCAAGTCAAAGCTCACAGAATTCAGTGCATGAAAAGCTGGTGCACATTTTTTAAACATTATTAATACATATTATTTTCATTGCTAAATATTGTGTAAAGTAGTTCAGTATTTATCAAGTTCAAGAAAAAAATATATTGGTGATAGATTGTTGCAAATGGACACTGTTGGGATATTAAACAGCTGTATTCTGAACCATGCACTAAGGACTTGAGGATCAGAAACTATAAAAAGCCCCTGGAGCTCCAGTACTACTGAGGGAAGGGTGACACATCTATGGCCACATTATACCAGGTAGTGCACAAACACAGAGTGCTCATTATCCCCTGTCACCCGATCCCTCACTGCATCGTTTGATAAGGAGATATTTGAACAGTGATGTTTTAAAGGAGTAATTACTGAAATTCCAAGTATAGTTTTTATGTTTACCATCAAAAATATTTCATTTTATGCCTTGGGGTCTTAACCCCTGTGAACTATTTACATGAGTCAAAGGAGGCCATGAAGAATTTCTGAGTGAATATCAGAGTTCTTGTGCTACCATGAGCTGCTCCACACTGTCAGAGATGGCATGTTGCTTGCATTAAACAGTTCTGAGAATCAGAACTTAACATTTAGATATTAATTTTTTTTTAAAAAGTGGTAGTTAGAAAATAAAGGTAATACCATAAGGTGTTTTGGGGGTAAATTGATGTTGCATGAGGAACTGCAGTAATTCACAAGAGACAGAAGTGTCAAAAGAAGCAAATAAGCAAATGCATACAGCAGAAACTACTGTCTAGACAATGGGATTTGGCTCTAGTTACCAATGTTTTCTCCTTCATAATTTGCCTTGTTAGATAAAGAGACAACTCATTTCCTTCACATATGAAAAACAGACTTTTTTCCATACAGTTAGAGGTGTTTATTTTGGTTTGACGTAAGGAGCAAATTGCAAACAAAATATCAGCATGAAAGCAAGCCCCAGTGGAAATAACCCTGGGTGAGTGTATATAATGGGGACGGCAAACTGGAAACTGCACAGGCTGGGTGTACCTGACTGTTCCTTGTACCTTTTGGCAGCTATGTTACTGTAGGAGTTAGGTGGCCTGAGACTTGGGGATTTTTCTTTTCTTTCCTCCCCCATATTCTGACCTTTATTCCATGGAAGAAAACAATGAGTTTGCAGACTGGTGGCTGAATATTCTCAATGAAAGCAGTTAACAACCCCATGTACTCTACCAATTGCTATGTGGCCAGTTTAGGCTTTACCTTGTAATCTCAGGTAAGGAATGAGTCAAGACAACTTTGCAACAACAAAAGCAATTGTCCAGAGGATGATATTGTTATCAGCAGATCCAAGCTTTGCCTGTTTCTGTCAACTGTCTCCCTCTGTGAGGGAACAGGAATAAAACCCAGTGACTGCATGTGGCCCTCTGCACCTGCAGCTCAGGTGCAGACACTGAGCACAGCCACAGTTTAGGTTGGGTATCAAGGAAAGTTCTTCATCCAGAAGGTGGCTGGGCACTGGAACAGGCTCCCCAGGGAAGTGGTCACAGCACCAAGCCTTGAAGAAGTGTTTGGGTAATGCCCTCAGGTACATGGTGTGATTCCTGGAGTGTCCTGTGCAAGACCAGGAGTTGCACTCAATAGTCCTGATGGTCCTTTTCATCTCAGCATATTTCATGATTCTATGATTCTACAATATGCAATCTAAACCTCTTCTGGCACAATATGAGGCTGTTTCCTCTTGTCCTTTTGCTTGCCACCTGGGAGAAGAGTCCAGCCCCCCCCAGGCTACAACCTCCTTCCAGGTAGTTGTAGAGAGCGTACATCTGAAAGATTTGTCCCTCTGCAGTAACACTTCATTGTGTATTCTGTAGCTTTGTTTGTATATGAAGTGGATTCTTATTAAGACAAGAGCTCACTACAGCCTTCTGCTATTAAATATTTCCCCTGGGAGGAGGAAAGAGACTTCTGTTTTGCATAAGATTATGAGATGGACAATTAGTTCTGTTGCAAATTAAACATAAATTGCTTTCCCTGTCTGCTTTAATAAACCTCATGTCAAAAAACCCAAATCCACAGGCATTACATGGAAATCACATTTGCCTAAAATTTTCCTGAAAAATAATTCTTCTCACTTAGAAGCAAATGAGGAACAAAAAAATATAAATGCCTGAGAGATCTTTTGCTGTATTTAGGGCTATCATAATTACATCCAGAGTAAGTAATTGAATTTAAATGAAGGGAACAAATGTCTCACTGATTTTGTGTGCGTGAGACAGAAAGATTAATATTTATGATTAAGAACCATTTTTTTCCTTTTCTTTTTTTTTCCTTCCATTACTTTAAACATGAAAAGCTAAGCTCTTTACCATACACTCTTGCAGCATACAGTCCTAGGTGATGAATAACTCCAAGCACAACAGCCATGGGGTATTGTTTGTACATGCTCATGAAAGGAATGACATCCCACTTCTCCATCACACCACAACCCTCAGAATGAAAGCCCCATTTTCCCTTGCAAACTTCACTGGGCTGCTTAGTACTGCTCACCTTTTTCCTGTGGGATAAAACCTGGAGCAGGAGTTGCCATCCCAGGCACAGTATGGATCTCGGGCGAGGCAGCAGTCAGCACAGGCGGTCCCGTAGATGTGGCAGCGATGCAAGGAGACCTGGGTGACCCCTTCATCTGAGCTCACGTACAGCTGTTGCTGCAGGAGGCAATGGGAATATTTAGCTCAGATGTGGAGGAGTTTCACCCAAGACCTGGCTAACACACCCAAAAAAGCCTTTCAATTAATTCTGGAATTAACTCAAGACCAAGAGGGGAGCCAAAATACATATAAAGTCAAGATCTAACAGAAATCTCCCAGGTGAACAGGCTTATATTATTTCCACCTTCCTGCTAGAAAACACCTAGAAACACTGGGGAATGTTAATGGTTTTTTGGACATTGAGTGTCATTGTTCTGTTCTGGGGCAGATAGGCTGACTTAATATTGCTCAGATTTGAGAACTTGGTTCTTATTCAGTGAGGATTATTGGCTCAAGCCTTTGAACTGAGTATTTTCTCTGCACACAGTCACTTTAATAAATATTATGCAGAGTTCCTAGCTGGATCCTCCAGTGCATACATTTCCAAGATGTAAAACCTAGAGATTATGCTGAGGCTTATGGCCAGATTCTGATAGCCTTATATACCTGGAAAAATAAGCCAAGAGAACTTTCACAATAAATCAGAGCTTTTGCAAGAGAAGTTCAAAGGGTGTAGATCATTACCAAAACCTGGGCCAAAACGACTGTTTCACTCAAAAAACAATTAATCATTCTAAAAAATATAAATTAATATTGAACAAAAACCCCTTGAAATTCCTTTGATCTTCCTGTCATAAAAATGAAAAAGCATACTGAAATCGACCTAGTGAATAATATTTACTTAGTAGTAGCTGGGTAAAATATTAAACAACATCTTGCTTGCAAAACCATAGAATACACATTTTTAGCTTTTGTGTTAAGCCTTTCAGCAGAAATCCTCTCACCTGTTTTCATTATTCTTATTGCTGTTGTTTATTACTACTAAACAAACATGCACAATTGCACCACGGATCCAACAGCCCCAACACTGCCTTTTCACACTGATCAGACAGACTTCCAAGGAAAAATTTCTATTTGGACTTAAGAGAAAAAAACAGGGAGGGTGAATTTCCTCTCTTAGTATTTTTTTTTTGATTCCTTAATTGTAAATCAAAATAGGAAATCTGACACTTTCAGTTAATTAGAAATGATGCATAATGAATAGAAATTGTTTTATCTTAGTGCAAGGGCATATAAACAGCTTGTGCAAACATCAGTCACGTTTTCTGTACTCAATATGGAAAATTTTCCTATATTTAGTGTGCTCCACAAGAACTGATATTCCAACATCTAAGTCAATTTGCTTCTCAGTTAATAAGCACAAAGCAGGCATTCCATATTGCCTTACCTTTTTAGATGAAATCTTCATTGTTGTTATAGGAGAATTACTCTGAAAGAAAGAGTTACAAATCCTTGTCAAGAACTCTTTCCCAAAATTAACATTTAAAAGTCACTAAAACCTAAGTAATATCTAAGAAAACAATATATTTTTATATCCTGGAAAGAGAGCACTCACTCCTACTAACTACTGCTATTTTCAGAACTAAACAAATGATATATAAACAATTAATGTCTCACAAAATATATTGCTGAAACTCAACCACATTATTATTACATGTATCTAAAAGGTTTTAGTACACTTATAATTAACCTGCATCTGTGCTCTCTCAGAAATAGAAGAGCCATTACTTTAACTTTGTAATAGGAAACGTTTTTTTCTTTAATGATGATGATAAGGAAAAATAATGAAATAGCTCATGAATATTTACCACATGATCCAGATAAGAATACAAAATCCTTCTCTTACAAATTATCTACAGTGCACACAGTTTGGTTACCATGCAGCATATATATTCAGATTGTCAATGACTAGATTCTTTTAAAATGGCATGAGTGCTCTTGAATGTTTCTTTCCCAGAGACAGCACTGTATACTACTGTGTGTCATCATAGCAGTCTATTAATGTCTGTGTCCAAATCAAATATTAAAGAGCTGGAAAAGGAATTGTTACTTTCCTTGCCTTAAGTCATTATGTTCATCCAAACAAGTGATAAAATCAATGGTAATAAAAATGTTCAGCATTTTTTTACGGTTCAACATTTGCTCAGTCACAAAGGAAAGCCATAACAGTGGGCTAGGATTAATTGCAGATGACCACAACACAGCAGGGAGGTCAGGACCAGAAAATCTGGCTGCAAATCATGTGAATTGGCAAAGGTTTGGAGAAGTTAAGAGCTGCTCATGAAGTGTTTGGAGTCTGCAGCTCAAATGCAACATTGGATCTGATGCCACATTCTCCTTTCCTTGTTTACTCTGGAATAGGATCTCTTCTTCGCTACCCTTGATATTAACTAGCACAGGGCCCATGATTTCATCCCTGCTCTCTTGGAGAGACTCATCTAAACACCACGATACCACACAGATTGTAACAGCAGAAGTTATGATTTCATGGTTTTTGGGGTTCAGGATAAAAAGGTCTGTGCACAGAAGCCCATAAACTAGGTTTAGGCTGAGGATGCCTCTCAGCCCACCTGTCTTCATGCTGTATTAATTTATGTTTCAGTAAATGGAACCTGCACTATCTTGGTGAAGAGTGTGTTTTAAGTAATATCACTCACATATATCTTTTTGAAGCATGAAGTCTTCAACGAAAGCCTAGGAAGACTAGCTATGCCTTTATAAGTGTTAACATAGATGCCTTTATGAGTGTTCCTTTTCTTAAGGAAACCATTAATGCTGCCTCAATAAAGAAGCTAAATTTTCCTTTTTGTATTCTGTCAATGAAATAGAGAAGTTTATAGACACATAATACCACTTGTCCTGAGACTACTGTTTAATGAATAGCCCATCCAAACATTTGAGAGGGATTTTTCAACATGAGGGTGAACATTTTCTTTAGGTTATTACAACTGTTACATGCCAGAGTGATTGACAGAGGCTATTCCTTTATCTCCCTGTAGTTTCTGTATTTCCTTTCAGCTTATGTTCTTTTAAACTTGTAGTTTTCTTGACTCCAGAGGCATGTGACTTTGAAGAACAGGAGTTCAACAAAAACAACACTAATTTGATTTCATTTTGCAACTGAGAACTAGGAAGATCTTCAGATAATCAAAGCACAGAAATCTGTAATTCCAACCATACACAGCAACAGCCTCTATAGTGATGCCAATGATAGAAGTCTCTTTCTGGAAGCCATTCTAACATGACCTCCTAAAAAACTGATTATCAAAATCCTTCTAGCCAGTATATCAACATAAAAAATAGGCAACTGAAATACAGGAGAAGAAAAGGGCTTCAGCTAGCTCTAGCCTTCATAACAGTCAACATTTTGTAATCTTTATGTGGTTATCAAACTGACAGCATGCACATTTACTTGATCTATTACCAAATCACAGTTGCCCTTGCCAAAGTCTGTTAGAACAAAGTGTTTGTGTGAACATACACACTGGAAAAACAATAGAAGGAGAAAGCCAAACCTGAAAAACTTCCATCTCTTCCAAAATGAGTTCTCCACTTGCAGAGAAGTTGGTGGGTAGGACAACAACTTTTTGTACAGTTCCTTGATCTGCAATAGGTGAGAACAAGTGAGAGCATGTAACATAGAGAGGGAGAAAAAAAAGCAGATTGACCTTCATTAATTATAAAAGGAAACCATCAAAGCAAGCACTTTGACACAGAGAAAGGTAAGAAATGTTCAGTAATTTCTACAGTTTGGAGTCAGTAAGAATGATGAAATTATTCCTTATACAGGAATACTATCACAGTATTATTCTCATATATGAACATAAGTAATGGTAAGTTTGGAGTTATTACCATTACTGTTACCATTCTATACAGAAAGATCAATCAAAATCAGTGTATTCTGTTGCTGTACAGACACACAGAGGCAGAATTTATACTAATGATCTTAAAGTAAAACACAATATAAAGAGGTAAAAGTGAGCTACTGCAGGATTTGATATATTCATATCTGATAATAAAATGCTAGGACAACTGATGGCATGCAAGGTAAACCTTCCAAAGAATAACTATCTAGACGCAAACACAGTTAGATGAAAGCTTTTTTTAAATTAAATTAAAACAATAATCAAGTACATTATATATTGGTAGGAGTTAATATTTTGCTCTGTAAGATGAAAAGAAAAAGCAAGGTGAAGATATTTTAGCTATTGTATCATGGTTTCCCTCTCAAAATACAGTTCCAAGCCTCACAAATCCACTCAGAACAAAGGAGTAAGTAGAAATGTGGCAATGACAGTGTTTTTGCAGGGTAGATGTGCTGAGTGAGACCAAAGGGGAATTTGTGATTAGTTTTCCAAATTTCTTATGTGGAAAGAATACATATGATGAAGGGGTCCATCTGTGAAGGCTCTTACAGGCTGAGACAATCACTGAAGTATTTCTGATGTGGTAGAAAAGGCAGACTGTGGGATAATCACGAGAAGAAGCATTTTAACTTGGAAAAAACACATAGAATTCCTCTTACCTGAAAGATCTAGAGACTAGACTGAGTAGAATAAATCTATCTGCTCAATAATGATTCTGAGGAATGAGAACACATGGTACAGGTTCTGTTCAGCCTTCAAAAGTTTAAGAGCAATGTAGAGTTGTGCAGCTGATAGAACATTAGCACAGCGCAAAATAGGCAAGTATCTACATTTATTAGGAAATTTCAGTTTCCTGTTTGGCAATTCATAATGAAGGCAATGTAAGCTAGAAAAGTTCAATTTTAGTTTTGCCTTAAGCTCAGCGACTAAATTCTATAGCTAGAGCTGCAGGGTAAGATGATTACTGTAAGTAATTTACATCCACTTATTTCACTCAAGGAAGCCAGACACTACTACTATTACTACTACTACTACTACTGCTACTACTACTTGCTGTTGTTGCTATTATTATTACAAAAAAAAATGTTTAAAGGCAGAATATTGATATTTAATCACTTGCCCACACACAGAGAGCACATTGCAGTATTTTGTCTTTAAAAAATAAGGAGGAAAAGAGAAACTGAAAGCTGACAAGACTTAAAAATGTGTAGCTATCAAGGGTACATACTCAGGGCATGTTAGGCATGAATTTTTCATGAGAATTTTCCAGGGAAACATTTATTCTCATTATACAATGGCATGATAAAACAGTTCCTTCTGAAGAAATTTCACTGAAACAAAATCTTGTGATAGCACAGCTGTGGTCTAGCCTGGGTGCCAGTATTAGCTAAGCTATGAGAACCTGAGAGAGATTTACTAACTGCCAGGGCCCACAGAAGTGTTAAACTGCTGCAGATGCCTCCCTCAGAGGAAAGGAGAAAGGGCTTGTGTGTATTTCTTCTCCTGCTTAAGGGAATAACCTACTCACACAGGTACATGGCTTCAGTCCAGCCTACCTCTGCTTCTCTGCATTCTTTTATCAATTGTCTCTCTCTAACACTAGACTCTGCCTTACAAAATAATCAGAAGTGCAGGAAGGAATTGCAGCCATTTGTGGTGTTTTTTTGAAGCTGCCTGCAAAGTGTCAAGTACCTGTAACCCTGACATGCAGGGCACTAAGCATGTTCAAAGTGACCTTACCTGCAAAGGAATGTAAGGCTGCTGAGCCTCTGAAGAACCGGTTTATGTCAATGATCCATTAGCACATGCCACACATTTAAAATTCCTACATTGTCTTGAGTCCCCAAACATTGCCCCAAACTGAAATCAGAACCTGAGGGGAGATTTTATCCTGGGCATGGGCACAGAAAATACCGATAATGCCTGACGCCAAGTCCTTGTTCCTAACAACCTCTCCTATTTGTAAAGCGGGTTCCTATCTACCTTTTTGTCACACCCCAGAAAAACACACAGAGTGAAGGACTGTTTACCTTTTTATTCATTCCCTTTGACTCAGTATTTTACCATTTACTTTGACTCAGTATTGCACCATGATGGACAAATCCTTGTACAAAGGAATGTTCCATTGTTCTAAAGGAGACTTAATACAATTTTTAAAATAAATATTCAAGTAGGCAATAGAAAGCTATTGATTAAATAAATGTCTTAGAACAAGGGTTTCTATTAGTCTGTACATATATATATAAATACTTCAAATAATACACAGCTTATAGGCTATAGTTCTCCCATTGCTTCTAAAAATAGTCTTGCTACTGTAGCTCAGCCTTTTCCTTAATAAATGAAAAGCAAATATTTGTCCCCAAACCCCACTTTTTATTTCTTTCTCAGCAACACTGCTGTCTCCACTATAAACACAAACATGTATCTGACAAATCAAGTGTGTGTTCACATAGAAAGCTTACATGCGTTCACACAGAAAGCTTATGGTATATTTGAGTTTTGTCAAAAATCTCATTTGATTATTTCTGCTAATAGCAAAAAAGTGAACTGTATTCCCTGGGTCAGAGGAAAGGATGAAGTATTGTGCACTGCAGGACATCTATGCAAAGCAGTGCCTGAGCTGTTTCTGAGTATATTTCACAATAAATAATATTTTATGCTGTAAATCAGGCATAAGGAATCATCAAACAAGCGCAGGCGAAATTTTTTCAAGTTTGGTCATTTTATGAAATTAGAAGGTAATCCTCTATAATTCATACAATTGAACATCGTGGTTTCTTTTGCCATTTACTTGTTCCTTCCAGAAATCCACTTGAAAACAATTCTCCATGCTATGATTTTACATAGTCATGAAAAAGCTATTATGACTCCAGAATATCAATCTGCCACTAGAAATGAAAAGGCAGATTTTTGCTCACCACTTTCCCAATTCTTCACTGGGAGCTGTTTACAGCCTTGCATCAGCTCAGCAGTCTGTGAGTCAAGGGGAGATGGACAAACAGAAGAGAATCTCCCTCAAGCTGACAGCAAGAGGACAGGAGTGACTCAAAATGTTTTTCCATTTAAACCTGCTTAACAAATGCAGGTGTCCCAGCATTTGACATTAAAGACAAAGACACTGAGATCACATTCCCTCTGAGAGGAGTGAGAAACTGGGAACAGCAAGGGAGGAAAGTGCAAGCTAAAAAAACAGTGTAGAATGTATTCAGAGTGGGAAATAAATGAAGAAGGAAGGCACTCCAATAAATGGAATGGAAGCATAAGAGGCAAATCATCATCATCATAATTATAATAATATTTCTTGAAATGCAAGACATGATTGTGGACTGGCATTAATCACCTAAGCTTCATCAATACCAGTTAGATTGTGCCTGATTACATTAATTCCTGGTCAGCCTGACCATGAGCAATGGAAAAAGTAAAACTTAATGAAAAGACATGAAAAATACAGAGGTTTTTGGCTGAATCAGAAGGTCTGAGTAGAGAACTCATTCTCTGAATTTTGACTGGTTTTTATTTCCCCAGTTCTAAGTGAACACTGCAGCTGTCAGTAATGTGAGCCTCAAAGAGAGCTGGGACCCACTTACCACTGAGCCACATCACACGGACAAACTGAACTACAAATAAAACCCCCAAATTTTCCACACCCTAAAAAAGTGACTGCAATAGGCACCAACTTCTACCGTGATATGAGTTTTGAGAGGCTTCCTTCAGTAATCCCCACCCCTGATGTATGTTACACTGCTGGAGACCCTCTAAAAACTTTTTCTCCATATTTTACCTGTCAGCTTAATGACAGCTAATTATTTCTGGTCTCTTATCTGAGTTGAACCTGATGTATACAAATAATCTTACAAAGAAAAAAGAATGCAAAAAGTTCATAGAATGTTTGAAATCTGTCTGTTTGAGAAAATGTTGAGGCTCAGCAGAGCACCTGAGAGGGTGGCAGGTTAGCAGCCAGGGCTGACAGCCACGTTCCCACGCTCTGTGTCTGCTGTAACTCAGAGCTCCCACCATGGCCACTAACCTCTCTGTGCTTAGTTCACTCATCTGTCAAATGGGGGCAATTTTTTCCCAGCTCATAATATCTCTGTGAAACTTCATAAAATTCAAGCTGCATCAAAGAACAAAAAGACAGATACAAATGCTCACACTTGAGGGTGAAGTTTTTCTATAGCCCCAGCTCACTCCATCTTTTGGGACACGGTGTGAGCTTGCTTGAATAAAACCTGAACAAGGGCAATGAAGCAGGTAGAGGTACACCCTCTTAACTTACATATCACCTTAAAAGTCTGTGAAAAAGCTTTGGATGAACAGGTCAACAAAAGGTTATTAATGACTCAGGCACTGGGACCAAGAGGAAGAAGGAAATTGTGTGTCTGATGCCTGTTGTGCCACTGTTGTGTAACATCATCTCCCCGAGCTCACAGACACAAAGCTGCAGCCAGGAAAACTATGGGAGGCAAGCTTGCTCTTTTGACCAGATTATCTCTGGGCTAGAATCTGCAGACCATTTGGCTATTGCATTACTGGAGACTACTGTTGTCAGCTAGGGTTAGTTTTCCAAAAAGACAGCCATCATACAACACCATGAAAACGAGTATTACAAACTTATGCTCTGGAGGCACTTCGTGCATCTAGACTTTGAAAACAAATGTTTCATCAGAGAAGAAAATATAATGAGAAACATTGATCAGCCTCATGCCACATCAGATGCATGTGGCTGACATTAATCATC